CTTCCGGGTCTCGGAGACAGCCCTATTAGCCGTCTGCCGAGGCCCTATATAATTGGAAATAAAAGATGGCAGAACTCTATACTGGTGGTCAAGACTAGATCACAAATTACTCATATTAAAAATAAGAGTAAGACTCAAGAAGAAAACAAAACCAGTGATTATACTAAAATATGATCTAAAAATATCTCAATAGAATTTATTGACAACATAAGAAACAGAACAAAACTAGTGATTATACCAAAATATGATCTAAAATATCTCAACAGAATTTATTGACAACATAAGAAACAGATTCGCACTAAACATAATAGAGGATAGGTTGGACTTGGAAGTGTCTCATTCACAGAGTTACCATGAATCAAGGTTGACTTGAAGGCAGTTAACAATAAACAAAAAGAAAAAGTATTTAAGCATTGTAGTTTTCCAATAATGAAGTCAGAATCAGGACCCATTCTTCAGTGGTAAGACCAGCAGCCATATTCTTATACTCTGCTATGAGAGTAGCAACTACTATTGCTACTGTCTACAATATTTTACAATTACTGTTTTTGATCTGTGAGCCAGTGTGGTGTAGTGGTTTCAGCATTGAACTACAATTCTAGAGGTCAGGGATCAATTCCCTACTTAGCCATGGAAACTCACTTGGGGGGGATGCAGATGGGCGGCCATGGGCCACCCCGAGAAGTGGAGGTTGGGGAAGTGCGCTCTGATGACGTCCTCGGGAATTGGTTGGGGTGCCCCGCATGTGGCTGTCCCTCTCCTTCCCTGGCTCTAAGACAGCACTTTGTGCCGTCTGCAGAGCCCCTTCGTGACTTGGATTGAGTCACACACTCTCAGGCCAAAAGACTTTGGGGGGATGCAGACCAGGGCGTCCAGGATGCCCTGGTCTGGAGCACCGCGGGGCCATGGCAGCCGCACCGCGGTGCTCCTGCGGCATCCCTGGAAGGAGCACTAAATCAGCGCTCCTTCCTCAAGACAGCGAAAGTGCACCCTAAACGCGTAGGGCGCACTTTCGCTGTCTTTTCTGCCGCAGCGCATGTGGTTGCTGCGGCGGGAGGTTGCCTTGGAAGCGCCGGCCGTGCGGAGGGCCGGCAGCTTCCAGGGCGACCTCAGGAAGAGGAAGGGACGCTGCGTGTGCGGCTGCCCCTCCTCTTCCGGGTCTCGGAGACGGCCCTATTAGCTGTCTGCCGAGGCCCTTTGTTACCCTTAGAGTCGCCATAAGTTGGAAACAACTTGAAGGCACACAACAGCAATCCTTGGTTACAGTTTTTTTGATACTACTTCTGTACTATGTTAATAAGTTTAAGAAAATCAAAACAATGTTCTTAGTTTATCTCTAATAGCCTTGTTTGTTTCATATGAATTTTGCTGACATATTTAAAACAGAATCCAGTGGTGACATTGAGACTGACCATTTCCATTAGTTGTCTGCAAAATGGTTGTATATTGATTGACAGCCAGCCTTTGAAAAATAATATTCTAAGCCAAAAAAAAAAAGGAAAATAAAAAAGTAGTTGCTTATCTTCAGCCTTTAGTAGCCAGATTTGCTGAGGTTTTTCTCTGTGAGTTAAAAGATGTGATAGGAAGGAGACATGCCTTCCCATGAGATACTGAAGTATGTCTAAAAGCTATCAGCTGCAGCAAAATATAAGATACCCTTCTCGTTTTACTGTCAATATCCATGACATTTTCTTTGCCTGATGTGAAATAAACACACATCACTCTCTTCTTTCATCTTGAATCTCTGGCTGCATTTATCAAACAAAACAGGGGTGCTAGAAGGAAAGAAGGGCTAAGTTCTGTTCGTTAGACAAAAAGTCACCAAACAGGAATGGCTCTCTTGGGCAGTATTTATCCTCTGCCAGCTCATCTCTGAAATTCCAATATGTAACTCATTAGAATTATGAAAGACAGCATCTTTCAAACACTTGTATTTTGTTTGCCTTAACCAGCTATTTTAACTTCCCATCCCCCACAAAAAGGCACATTGAGCTTCCATTTTTCATATAAGATAGACATTCCAAACCTATATCTGCAAGTGCCCCTCAAAATATTGCCCTTAGTATCTGTTGATATTTCTAAAAGTTAAGCTCACAGCATCCATCATGCATGATTTTGATATGTAATATCCTAAAATTCTGCCATTAAACAATTAGGAATGGATTTTGAACATATGTAAATAATAATGCTCTTGCTTATGCAATGCCATCACAATGTCTTACTGACCAATATACATTAAACTGCATGCACACTCATCACATGGAAAGGGTCAGTCGTTGTCTGTTCAGAATCCCGAGGGTTTCAGACTACAGAACGGGGGGGGGGGGGGATTCTAGTCAAGTGTGCAAGAGATGGATTGATCTGTCTATTTCACTTTTTAACTCACTTTTTTCTTTGAAAAAAAGTTCTTTCTGGCCCATTTCTTTAACAATTTGACAGTTTGTACTTCTACGTCAATTTTCAAATTCATAAGCCATTTATGTGTAATTTTCCTTAATACAAGCAAGCACTTTCCATGAATATATATCTTTTGTATGATCATTTTCCTAAAGTGTGTGTGTGTGTGTGTGTAATGCAGTTCAATAAGTTGTGTGCTAGGAGTGAGATGCTGTGCTCATTCCCATTGTGGATTATCAGATAATTTATTGTTGATGCCAAAATTTATCAATTTTTAGTCCCACTTCGAGGAGGCATGCTTCTGTCTCTCTCTATATATGTTTAACTAAGTGCATCTTTGGGCAACTGCCAGGGCCCTAGAAGTCTGGTAGGTAGATCCATTTAACATTTTAATTCAACACAGTACAATCTAGTGTCAGTCTAGGGCATAGTAGGTCATTAGAATTGTGCAGCACAGACCACAGGACTTCTGTTCCTTACCAGTGCAACCACCAAAGACAGCCTACAAGGGAGGGAGAGGATGATTGATGTAAATACAAAAGCCATTGGAGGGCCATTTCACCATCAGGTGGCTTCATACTAGGAACTAGCCCTAATCATACCTTTGAGCATCAAAACAGTTATGGAACTGCTTGTTTTTATGTCATTGGAGTAGTGTGAAAAGCTTGGGTACCTGTAGGAGAAGAAATGAACTCTTGTCACGTTCCTGTGTCAACAGCAATCTTCATGAAACTTGGATATCAGATTGGATAGAAGCTGTAGCATGGGACTTCCATGTTGACTTAGGGGGGATGCAGACCAGGGCGTCCAGGACGCCCTGGGATGGTGTGCCGCTGGAGCGAGGCAGCCGCACTGCAGCGCACCGGCTGCGTCCCTGAAAGGAGCGCAAAAATAGTGCTCTTTTCAGAAGTCAGGGAAAGTGCGCCCTAAACGCGTAGGGCGCACTTTCCCTGACTTTTCCGCTGCAGCGTGTGAGGACGCTGCAGCGGGAGGTTGCCCTGGGAGCGCCGGCCGTGCGGAGGGCCGGCAGCTCCGAGGGCAACCTCGGGAGGAGGAAGGGGCGCCGCGTGTGCGGCTGCCCCTCCTCTTCCCTGCCTCCAAGATGGCTCAATAAGTCGTCTGTCGAGGCTGTTAGGCTTCTTGTGTTACTACAGTAGCACCAAAGAAGTCCTTTTTTGGGGCTTTCCATTCCACCATTGTAATGGCAAGAGAGGATCACTTTAGTGGCACTATGTATATATTCTGAACAGGACCTAGCTCCCATTCCAGGTCTCTCCAATGGTTGGGTAGTAAAAACTGACACACATTACTGCTATAAGACAAATTTTATTGGTGGTAAATATGTGAAGATAATTTCTTTGGTTTTCTCCCTAGTGTGGACAATGAAAATCAATTTTTGTGTAGTTTTTACCTGGTATTCATGTATCCCAAAGTGTTTGAGGAAAATTATTCTGAACAGAAATACACTTGGGTTTTGTATGTGAAAAAGTTCTAAAAACTCTTGTGGCTTTTTTGTGTAAAATTGGTACATTTTGTACCAACCCCCCCCCCAAAAAAAACCATGCTATTTACCAAAAAAGTTTGTTCCTTTCGGAAGAGGGATTGTAAAAGAGATGCTTTTTGCACCAAAAAGTACACTATCTACACAAGAAAATATTGTTTTCAAGAAAAGTGGCTTTTTAAGAAAAATTGTGTTTTTCTTTTTGTCTTTTGTTTTTTTGTGAAACCCCCCTCCTACCAAATTTGCACAAACGGTATGTCTCTTGAAGCAGGAAGCATTGAGGGTTTTTATTCAGAAAACTATGTTTTGCACAATTCCCCTACCAGCACAATTTTTATACATATATATATATATATGTGTATATATATATATATATATATATATATATATAGTGCACAGATAATCTCCCCAAATGCTTTGCCCAGGATTCTTTGTCTTATGTTATTCTTCCCAACCAGGTTTCCTGAGTCTCAGGAGACTCATTTTTGGCCAGGAACTGAATAACAGTGGATATTCCTACAATCCCTAGCGGTAAATCAATGCACAATGTGTTATATAGCAAAGGAAGCATCACAGTCTTTTAGATTATACATTCTAGAATCTCCTTCCAGCAAGTGATAAAATCAGGCCACTAAGCAAGGAATTTGACCCAGGGCCTGATCCCTCTGGCTGGATAACTGAGGGGTTCTGCAGTCTTGGAGCCAATAAAGGGGAGGAGACGCCGGACGCCCCAACCCCTTCCCGAGGATGTCATCAGAGCGACCACTGTTGCACATGGCAAGCGCTCTGATGACGTCCTTCTGGCGCAGCATTTTTACACACTGCTCCAGAAGAGGTGCAAAAGAGCCGCGTGGTGGCTCTTCCAGTGCCCTTTCTGCAGCTTGGGAAAGGAGCGCTTATTTTGGTTGGATATTCTTACAATCCCTAGTGGTAAACAGGTCGCTGAACAGGTTGGATTGGGGCTGAGGCTGCCCCATGCATCGGCCCCAATCCTCCGCTTATCAGGGCGGCCCACGGCTGCCCATCTGCATCCCCCCATACTTTCTAGATTGAGATAAACTTCCCCACTAACCCTCCCCCACTAGTGAGGCAACTGGAAGATGAATTCTAGAAGTTATATAGGCCAGAACTAAATAAAGAACATTGAAGTACATGAGCATGAACCACTTCCCATCCTAACAGCTATGTGGACTATATAAGCAAATTGCTAAAATTAGAGTTTGCTCTGCTGATCCTCTATTCTGTTCCTAGCCTTCAGATGCCAATCTAAAGCAAAATATAAGGACCATTTTGTTTTATTTGCCATCAAGTTGACTTTGACTTATGGTGATCCTATAAATGAGAAATCGCCACAGTTCCTGGTCATCAACTGCTTTGCTTTGATCTTACAAGAGCTGTGGCTTCCTTGATGGATTCAATCCACCTGTAGTGCAGTTTCCCTTTTTCTCTTCTGTCTTCTGGTCTGTCAAGCATTGTCGTCTTTTCCAGTGAGTCACATGGTCTCATGATATGTCCAAGGCATAGCAACTTCAGTTTACTCATGTTGACTTCTGATGAGAGTCCAGACTTGATTTGCTCTAAAACCCATTTATTTGTCTCTTTAGAAGGCCATGGTATCCACAGAACTCTTTTCCTGTACCATGTTTCAAATAAGTAGGGGGCTATGCAGAAGGGCAAAAAGGGGTGCTTTGAGGGTGACTTGTAGGCGTGGCCTTTAGATGACGCACGCCTAA